AACCGCTGTAACATAGTCTTCTGTTCCCATTTTGCATGGGCGAGATGAAAACCCCGGTGTATTCTCATCTGGTCCTCCTTCCGCTGCTCGTTATTGCCGTCATTGTGGTTTTTTCTGTGAGTACACCGTACGGCAATGAGGTATCAGAGCACGGGTTCCGTGCAGGCTTCTTTGACCTGCGGCTGAAGGATTCCGAGCGGTTGTTGAGTGCTATTGGCAATGGGGGACAAAAACAAGAAGCGCTGGCAGTGGAGTTTTTTGCCGGGGGAGGTGCATTGGCGCTGCGGAACGCATACGACTCGTACCTAACGTGCAGGGGCGGGCGGGCTTACTTCACTGTCCGTACCGATGCCACCGCAAAGGAACTGTGGGGGCCTCGGATCCTTCCTGACGGGACGATGGCTCTGTTATCGTTGGCCTCGGATCGGTATCTGCGTGTGAGGAGACGCGCTCTGCGGTGCGATACCATCAGCGATAAGCAGGCTGCCAAGTGGGAGCCTCACATGGCGACGCGGAGGGAGTGCTGGTCTGTGGGCACGCTGGACGAACCGAGTGAAAATATTTCGGTCTGCTGGTCCGAGGTCAAGAAGGAGGCAGCCAAAAAGAAGATCATTCTGTTCGGCACACTAAAGCCTCTGAGGAGCCGTGAGCCCGATGATCCGTCAGACATGTACGACGCCTTCATTATCGCAAAGAGGACACTCACGAACTGGGCGAGGCTCCCCGGCGTCCAACCTGTCGTGTTCACTGATGATGCCCTGAACCAGAAGCTTGTCGAGCAGATAAACGCCGCACATATGGGACGACCTGGCATTTCTCAAATCGACGTCATCACTGAGTTTGAGGTGCATCCAACGTACAAGCAACCTACCTACCGTGGTCTGTTTCAGAAAGCGATCAGCAGCTATCCCAACGCCGAGGCCATAATGTACGCCAACATGGACATTCTCTTCACGTCCTCTCTCATAAACACTGTCAATGAGGTTCGGCGCGCCTACGAGAGGCGAGAGCATGCGGGGGCATCTATGAAGGGTTGGTTCATCATCGGACAGCGAACAAACGTAACCCTCACTGCGAATTGGTCGATGGACGACGAGCAGTGGGAGTCCCGACTAGAGACGGAGTTGCATGGGGCTGGAAGGCTCTACAGTGTGTTGGCCCAGGACTACTTCATCATGAACCCGACGCTCTTCAACTGGAGTGATATCCCTCCATTCATTGTGGGTGGTGTTGTGTTCGACAACTGGCTGACGTCCAAGGCGGTCATCATGGGACAGAAAGGTAGCGCACTGACAGTGGACGCTACCCGGACATTGATAGCAGTCCATGAGAACCACGCTGAAGATCTGTTTGCTAGTCGCAGAAAGCCGAAGTCTCGATACAACGTGCGTCTTATGAGAGCCAATGGTGGCCGTCCATATCGACTGACATCAGACTCTCCGTGTTTTACCTTACGCTTATCGGACAGGGCCGTTCATTGTCATAAGCGTTAGTTTTTTTATTTTATTTTTTTCTTATGTCTTTTGTTTTTTTTTCTGGCTGACTACATAAGGTCAAGATTCTTGGCTGTACAACACTGAGGGTAGAAAAAAAAAGGTGCCCAGTAACAAATTCCCTAAAGACCAGGGAGGCCTCTGTAAACGTGGTGATGTGCAAAGCTGTTTAACGGGTGCACGGCATTCTGCTCTTGTTCTCTTCCACCTTCCTTTTGATACTGTCAGATATGTAGAGACCATGGAATCCCATCTGGTCCTCAATCCGCTGCTCGTTATTGCCGTCATTGTGGTTTTTTCTGTGAGTACACCGTACGGCAATGAGGTATCAGAGCACGGGTTCCGTGCAGGCTTCTTTGACCTGCGGCTGAAGGATTCCGAGCGGTTGTTGAGTGCTATTGGCAATGGGGGACAAAAACAAGAAGCGCTGGCAGTGGAGTTTTTTGCCGGGGGAGGTGCATTGGCGCTGCGGAACGCATACGACTCGTACCTGACGTGCAGGGGCGGGCGGGCTTACTTCACTGTCCGTACCGATGCCACCGCAAAGGAACTATGGAAGCCTAGGATCCTTCCTGACGGGACGATGGCTCTGTTATCGTTGGCCTCGGATCGGTATCTGCGCGTGGGGGAGCGAGCACTGTGGTGCGATGCCAGCAGCGATAAGCAGGCTGCTAAGTGGGAGCCTCACATGGCGACGCGGAGGGAGGAGTTGCATGGGGCTGGAAGGCTCTACAGTGTGTTGGACCAGGACTACTTCATCATGAACCCGACGCTCTTTAACTGGAGTGATATCCCTCCATTCATTGTGGGTGGTGTTGTGTTCGACAACTGGCTGACGTCCAAGGCGGTCATCATGGGGGAGGAGGATGAGGCGATGACACTAGACGCCACAAGGACACTGATTTGAGATTGTCTGGTGTTCATTAATCAAGATAGACTCTGACCATTGGGGTGTAGTGAGGCATGACGGCTGTTTTTGCCGTGTGGGGGATGCTTGTTCATTTTTCTTCCATTGTTTGCGGGTTTTGATTATACCTGGTTTAGTGTGGTCCACGTGGAAAATGGCGGAATACTGTTGCGTTGGCGTAGTGTGCCCTGCTCAAGTGGTAACGTTGCTCTGGCCGCTTGTCGAGATGGGTGGTGTAATGTGATGTACGGCTTATGGTGTGAGGGGTGTTTTTCTTTTTTAAGTTATCAATACCTCTCATTGACTTTGTGTGTAACTGTTTGAATAAGATGTAGATTTGATGGTGCGCCATCGGTAAAAGTTGTTGTTGTTGTTGTTTTGTTTTTAGTGGTGTGCTTTGGTGGGGTGGGGTGGTGGACAATTGGGGTGTCACTCGTTGATAAGTAGGGGCTTGGGGTACGTCGCGGGGTGTTTTTTTTTTTTGTTTTTTTTACTTTTTCAAGGCGTGTGAGATGTTTTTTTTTTTGTTTTGGATATTCTTTGTGGGTGCGACTTGGCGATGTTCCCTATTGTGTTTTGCCTTTTTTTTCCCTTGGCAATGTGGGTGGGGTGGAAGGGTAGGTCTGTATTCTGGCGTGGGGGTGATAGCGCCATACTGGGTCAAGGAACGGTGAAGGATTATTCACCCGGGCACGACGGCCAACAATGCCGTTTCCACTCTTCTTGCACCGCAGCTTTGACACTCAGCTGTCTCCCGTGGCGGCATCGATTATCGACTGGGCGCCTATGCGCCGCGGTGGTCAATCGGATTCTGACCTGTCGCAAGATGTACAGCTGTCTGCGGAACGTCAGTCAGCTATGCAGGATGGCGTCAGACATGCTGTTCGTCGCGAACGGGAGCAGATTGGTGAGGCCCGCCGTCGCGTCAGTATTCCTTCCATTGAGAGTCAGGGTGTGGCGGATGGCTTTACGGGACGTCTGTCGCAGTCGATTCGGAAGAGCGGAGCCGTGACGGCCAGCAAGAGCTCACCTGTCCGTCTTGAGCAATGTCAGCTGATGGTGAACTCATATGCGGCAATGCCACTCTTTACACGCGGTACCCTAAGCTTGAATGCAGGGTTATTTGCAGCTGTAGGGTTGACGGGTGGTCCCTCTTCCTCTTCCTTATTTCCGGTGTCGTCGGCTCGGCGTCCCTTCTTTCACACGAGTGACGTGCTACAACTGGAGTGCATATGGGGGCGCATGTATTGGACGGGCGTTTTGAATGTTGTCTGCTTCTCGTGGCGATCAAAGATGTTTCCGTTGTTTGAATTCATTGGGATTACGCCCAGTGTGGACTGGTCTGTGCAGGCAGATGGGTTGTTGTTTAACTGGAATGGTTTTTGGCGCGTATTTGTTCGAGGGGATCGTCGTCGTCGTCGTGATTCTCTCATCTCTATGAAGACGCCTGCGGATCCGGCCCCGCGTCATAGAGACGTTGCGGGCAGCAGCAGCAGCAGCATGATGGAAGCAATTAAACAGCCCGATGTTGTGGCAACACTAGCAAAGACCAACTCACCAACACGTGAGTCGGCAGTAGTTCCTGCCCCGATGACTGTAGATGGCAGCAAGGGGATTCGAGGCGAGGAACACCACCCGCGTGTAAGTGCGACAGAGCATTATGAAAGTGTGCAGGAGGGCGCCGCCTCTGTAAAAGGGGCCACGCTCGCCGCGGGGGACTCGCCCAAGCCACAAAAGCATATCGGCAAGCACAATGACGTGGCGGACGAGCATTACGCAAATGAAGCGCTCGCGCACCCCACAAGTAGTGGGGAAAAGTACAGATGGTGGCAACTCGAGGAGCTTCGTTGCGGCGCCGGCTTCGCCGTGAAGAACGATTTGGCGAGCGGTGTGAATGTGTACTGCGGCTGTAGCGCCCATATGGGCCGACAGCTGACCGTCTCCACGCACGTGGACGCGCTTCGCCGCACCTGCTGCTCCATCACATCCACCACCGCGTCGCTCGACCTCGCCACACGCCTGCGGATGAATCTTATCACTTGGCACCGCACCGAGCTGGACGCAGGAATTGGCTGGCGCCCACTCAAGCACGCCCCTGGTATTACGTGCAGACTCTCACACTCGATGGGCCGCACCTTCGTTGGTGTCACCGTCGCAGACGTTGTGGCACAATGTGGTAAGGTGTTACGCTGGGGAAAGGACGGACCGCAGCACCCCGGCGATGGCAATGCAAAGAGGACCAGGGGACAGCACGCCGCGGGTGCTACTGTGAATTCTCCAGAAACAGGTTTGTCATCATCATCATCATCATCATCATCGGTGTGCTGGTATGATCCTTACCTGGGGTGGTTGACGCATGTGGGTGGCTTGCTCTCTGCCATGGCCTCAGCAACTGCCACTCCCGCAGCTGCACCTGTGAAGAGAACGGCGGCTCATGCGCTAAGTATGCGTGAACGTCTATCCCAAGCCACGCGAAGAGGCTTCGAGTGCGCCAAGGCTCTCTCTTGCGAAATGGAGTTTGACCTCACTCTGGGTGTGGGAACGGAACGGCCACATGCAAAAGGACTAAGGCTCTTCGTTTCCCTCTCCGCACACTAGACGGTGGGAGAGAAGAATGAAAGAAGGCGGTGGGGTCGGAGGATAAACAAAGTGGCGTCGGAGCGTGGGGAAGTGAAGTTGGCGGTTTCTTCCACTCATAAAGGGTGATGTCTCATCATAACGTTAGGTTGTGTACACACATATATATATATATATATGTATATGTATGTATATGTGTGTGTGTGTGTTTACCGTGAGTGTCAAGGAAGCTATGCGCAGCGTGTGGGGCCTCTCTTNATATATATGTATATGTATGTATATGTGTGTGTGTGTGTTTACCGTGAGTGTCAAGGAAGCTATGCGCAGCGTGTGGGGCCTCTCTTCTGTGTGTGCGTGTGTGTGTGTGTGGGTGTGTGTGGGTGTACATAGATTAGCCTCAGCGGGGCATAGCCCGTGCCAACATTTCTGATCTCGCTCTTTTTCCCCGACCTTGCGTACTCCTCTGGTTGTGTGGTGTGTGTGTGTGTGTGCTTGATCTCCACTGTGGCGCTGGCGTAGAAAGCGAACACGTGCTTAGAAGTAGAGTCCGTTGTCTTGCGCTTCCCATTTTACGGCGTGCAAGACACTGGTGTGTGAGGGTGCGTGGTGCAACATACGCACACACTCTCTCCCTTTGTTTTCGCGCCGGCGCAGCAGAGTGAGGACCATCATCTCAAGACGCTTCCCCATCTTCAGTAGGGGGCTGCTGTCTGCTTCGTTGTTGTTGTTGTTTTTTGGGGGGGAGGATTTCACTGCCTTTGCGAGGGGGGGCGGCGCTGCTCGCGCTTCTGCTGCATCGACACCTGGTGGTTTCTAACGGTGCCACACAGCAGTGACGCGCAAGCACATCATTTCGTCGTTTCCAACGCGGGAGGTGCCGCTGCGGCTGCATTCGCCGCTGTGCTCGAACTCATCGCCGGGCACGTACTCACCGCCGGGCACGCACAGCGGCGGTGGCAGCCCTAGCGTCGTGGTGGAGGCGGTGACGGGGCCCGCGCCCCCCGACCAGCAGATGAACGGCCACGACGACGACGAGCGGGCGGCAGCGGCGGCGGCGAGGGTCGGGTCGTGTCGCAGAAGACTCTTCGAGGTGCCACCAGGCGAGCNGGCGGCGAACGGCCACGAACGCGCAGCAGCAGCAGCAGCAGCAGCAGCCGACGCGTACGAGGGCGAATATGACTACGTGGTGGGTGTTGTGAACCCCGCCTCCGGGGAGTGTGGGGCGGCGCAGCACGTGCTGAATTCGTTGCGCGTGCTGCTTGGCGCGGAGCGTGTGGTGACGCTTGACGGGCCGCTCTTCGCCAACCCGGCGCTGCTCATTGAGGTCCTTCGCAACCACGCTGTGCGCTTTACGCCGCAAAAGGGAGGCCAAGAAACAACAACCACACCATACAGTGCTGTGAATACAACTACCAGCTACGGCGAAATGTCCAATGCAGTGGATAAGCGCGGAACCGTCGTTGTGTCAGGCGGCGACGGCACCGTAGCGTTTGTCATGGAGCAGCTTGATGCGCTGCGCGAGATTATGGAGAAGACACTGAAGGATGCCAACGACGACGGAATGAATTACACGAGCCCTGACAACAGCAGCGCAAAGGTGCGATTCGTGCTCCCTGCAGTGGCAGTCCTTGCGCTCGGGACAGGAAATGACTATTCCAATAGCATGGGGTTTGGTGGTGGCTATACGCGTCATAAGCTTGGAGGTGTATGCTGCTGCATGGAGAACCCCATTGAGCCGCTCGTCCAGGACGCCATTGCAGCACCTGCTGTTCCCTTTGACCGTTGGATGGCACGAATCGCGCCACTATCAGCGATCTCCGAGCAACAGCAACAGCATGCTAACAAACAGGAGGGAAGTGAAATGATTCCGGACGAGACATTAATAAATAGACTGGAGCTGGGGGAAACGGTGGGATCACACCCCATTGATTGGGATGCACTGGATGCCGCCAAAAAATGTCTCAAGTACTCCTTCATCAACTACTTTAGCATAGGCTTGGATGCGTACGTGCTCGAGAAGTTCGACACCTTTCGCAAAAGGCACCCATCCTTCTGCAGCACGCGATGCAAAAACAAACTTGTGTACGGCATGTACGGCCTCAAGGCGGTATTTCGGTGCTCCACACTTCGCCCCTCGATCCCAGCCATCTGTGTCTCCAGCATGACACGGGGGGCCTCCGGCTTCACCACTGCAGTGCCACAAGTAGCGAAGGATGCCTTGAGTGACAGCGACGTTGCCAGTGGCATCTGCAAGGACAACAACAAAAGCAAAAACAAAAATAACAACGGCATCACCAAACGTGTTGCAGGGGCGGGCGGTGCGGAGAAGCGGGCGCCCATGACTACACTGAGGCTGCCACACGCGAGCAAGGCCCTGTTGGTGACGAACGTCAACTCGTATGCCGCAGGCACACACCCGTGGAAGGAGAATAGGGGCCGCCTCTACCGCGATGACCCGCATGCAGACCCCATGATCCTCACGCCTGTAAGCGTGAATGACCACAAGATGGAGGTGCAGGCGCTTAATGGGTTGTTTCACATGGGAATGCTGCAGCTGGGAATCGGCAACGGTGCCAACAAGCTTGCACAGACGCGGGAGCTGCTTGCTTTTGTTCTTTGTGGACCAGAAGATATTGCACAATACAATGAGAAACAGCCTCACCGAAGCGACTGCAGGAGCAGTGGTGAAGAGAACGAGGAAGGCTACGAGATGCGGACACCACTCAGTATGCAAGTTGACGGAGAGTTCGTTGCGCGGATTGTGCAGCCCACCGTTCTGCACATCACGGAACTGCGCCGCCCCCGCGTCTTTGTGCGCTGCCGCAACCCGAAATTGCTGCGGCCAACATCGCGGGATGGAGAGGCGGTGGATTAAAGGGATTGCACAGCACACATGACTCCTGTGGTGTGTATACGCTGGCCCAAATGTGTGTCATAACAATTATCTTTGTTGCGGTGATAAATGAAGGGGCATAGTGATGGTGATGATGGCTGTGGTGTTGGCAGAAGGGGGGGGGGATTGTGGGTTACTGCACATGCGTGTAGGCACCGGCCCCCCTGTGTTGTCCTTGTCCTTCCTCTTTTCACGCTCCTGTCTCTGTGGGTACATGCATGCAAATGTGTTTTTTTTTTTTTACTGTCTGTATATATATATATATATATATGTGTATCTCTATATGTATTATCTTTGCTTTTGTTCCTTTTGTTATTTATTTATTTATTTTTCTGCGTGTGTGTGTGTGTGTGTGT